TGCTCACAGAGCAGGGTGAAAATCCAAAGGTGAGCTTCTCTCTTGCTCTCCCTGTAGCAAGAATATGAACAGAGGGAGGTTTTTCATCCTCATGAAAAGTCTCCGATTGTTCCTAGTGATTTGATTATTTTTTCAGAGCAAGAAAAAAACCACTATTTTAAGGCATCACTAGAGGAATGAATTTGACAAGCCTTTATCCAGCTGAATGTTTAAATTTTGGAAGGAAAAAAAAAATCCGGTATGACTGACAAGGTCCTTTTAAAACACATAATACACTGCACGTTACATGACACTTCTGTGGGTGTTAGTCTAAAAAGCGATCTTTACATGCAGTGTAGCAAATGAACTGTGTAAGGCAAGGGTTGTAGCTATATGCATCCTTGCTGAGTAGTACTATAGGATTGTAAAACCTGACAAACTTGATCTCTTCAAGTTCCATGTCCCCAGGGAAGAGGCTGGTGTATTCTTGTTCTTTACAACTCCTGAAAAGTTTGCTTTAGACTATTGCCATTTATGTCGCAGGCAGTGTGATACTTGAAGAGGTGAGGGGCTCGGACTTCCGAGAGGTGCTACATGGGGAGCCAGCAGAGCTGAAGGATGACTTCTGGCTCTCACAGGAGCTCATTGTCCTTTTCCTGTTGAGGATACATTTATCTGACCGTTCCCCTCAAAGGTTAGGAGTGGTCTGGGGGATGTGTAGCTACCCCCATCCCAGCCTGCTGGTAGGGAGAGGTGAGAAACTCAGTGGTGGGATTTTGATGGCCCTTAGGGTAGGAACAAGGAGCGCCAGCAGCAGTGGGGGCTACTTTATAGGGCAGGCAGCATCCTTCAGCTCCCACTGGAGACCTGTGGAGAAAGGGAAACTTTCTCTCGTTGCTCCAGAAGAGCAAAAATGTAAAATCCAACAAGTAAAACTCTGCCAGAAACATGGTGTTTCTTTTTTCAATGAGAAATTGGCTTACTGCTGCTGCCCCATCCCTTCTCGTGGTTTATGCACAGAGGGGTAACCCTACTATCTTCTTCTCTGGATTCAGCCACCAAACCTCTCCCTTTTTAGGAGGTCTTGTCTCCATGAGAGGTACATGGACCACAGCTTTAAGGGCTGACAGCTCATCACACATGATAGAGATAACTGGGGCAAAGGGGTCTGGCCACCTCAGTGTCCACCTCTTCTATGGGGAAGGATCTCTGGCAGTCTCGGGGCCAGCCTCCTGCCCCGTTGGGTGCCACGTGCGGCCACGTTGCTCTTGCTTCAAGTCTCCCAGTGGTGGAGACCCTGCAGCTCCCATATCCATTTCTATGCTGTTCTTACTGCAGCCCATCTAGCCCACTACCACATAAGCTCACATTCCCGTCCACCACTGAAATGCAGAAAAGCTTATTCCCATCCCTTTATTGCTTTTTTTAAATTGTTTGAGCACCTTCATCCGGTGTCCCTCCCTAGCTTTCCATCTGTCTTTTCCTCTCTCTTCACTTTTTCTAGACCTCCAGGTCATCTTCACCCTCCTTGGAGGTCTCTTGTCAGTCGTTCAAGTCTTCCTTGAGGAGCAGTGCTACAAACCCACCAACACCCTCTGGCTGAGACCATCCCCGTGTGGCGGAGAGCAGATGAGTCTGGCCATTTTTTCTAATCCACAAGAAAGAAACTCTGCACGCCTCCCCCAGCTCTCCAATGGACTTGCCATGAGTAGCTGTTTTCATTTAATTTTCCTTTCCCTGAAATTCATGTTTGTTTGTTTTTAATTTCAGGATGGCTACCAAGCTCCTTTCAGCACTGGATTAGAGAAACGTAGGATACAGTAGCTGCTAGACTCACCTATTAATCAAATTAATGTGTCTTGGTGAACCAATTCAGAATACTGCAGCGCTGACTCTTGAGATTTCGTAACATCTCATGACATTCAATATTTTTGTTAAAGCTCTACTTTCCAGATTCATGTGATAATGGGAGAAGCTGAGCTTTCACTTAGACAGAATTAGCAATAAATATCTAGAGCACCTGGCTGTAGAGAGTAATTGGCAAATGGGACCCAAGTGCATCCTAAAGTCTCAGAAAACCAGAAGGCAAATAAAAAGCACCTGCAAACAACCATTGTTGGCTGAGCTTGCTGGAAAGGCACTTGCAAGAAACATGCTCATCTGGCTGCTCCCGTGGACAGGAGCTTTTGAATGCCGATCCCAAGTTCTCCAAAATGCTGTGATGTTTTCTGGATAGCCCCTTGTGGGAAGCTGGGAGGGGGGTGAGAAAAGACATGCAAAGTGAGGCAAGAAATTATCTACTTACAAAAGCTATGGAGTGGGAAACCTGGACCTTCAACCCCCCAGGACCACTCATAATGAACGTGCCTCCTGCTAAAAGGCTTTGGGGTGCTCTGCGTGTTACCAGATACTTTGACTTCAAATACCTGAGTGGGTTTTCCCAGCAGTACCCAGTGTCCCAGCCAAGGCTGCTGGTCAGGAGGTGCTGGAAGGTGTCAGAACAGCCCAGACTCAAGGGGCACAGACGTACCTGTGGTGTTTGGGAGCGTGAGGCCACTTCAGAGGCTCTGTCTCAGCGCCATTTCCCCTGTGCATCAGCCACGTCTGAGTGAGAGGATGGCTGAATGAAGACGAGGGTGCAGAGTGAATAGGCACCGGGTGTATTGCTGATGGAGGGGAACCCATTTTTACCAGTTTTCCACTTCTTGTTTCAGCCAACACTGCCAAGGTGCTTTCTCTTTGGTGGGAGGAGTGCATGAAAATTATGATTTAATGCCATTGTTGGCTGATGTTCCTTCCCGAGGGGCTGTGCGGGGCAGGGGACGGTGATGCAAGCACCACGGACACCTGTGAAGGCGCTAACTGAAGAGGATAGATAGAGGAGAGGTGAAATACGATGGGTGAAACTGTGACTGTCCCTTGCTACGGGCTGCCCATACGCAGTCCCCATCCCCTGAGAAATGACAGTGTAAAATATTCAGCTAGACAAAATACGGCAGAAAATCCAGTTTTCCAAACTTCTTGACATGAAAACTTTAAAAATATGTGGGATATGGGGCAGTGAGGGAGACACCCAATAAACAGCTGGACATAAAGGCAGCTGCAAACTACCCACCAACAAAGGAAGTGCTGAGGCTGCCCGTGAGGCTGGTGGAAGACTTCTGCCATCCTTGTCCTGCTGCGGAAACATTTTAAGTTGTTACCAGGAACAGTCTGCAAAGGCTCACACAGAACCACCATCAGAAATAACTCGAACGCAGAGAGGAAAAAATTGCTTGAGAGTCCTTTTGGGAAGGATTAGGTTTAAAATAATTGCCATTTATAAATTAATTTCACATCCTTTTGGAGCTTGGCCTACTAGCATTTCAAGGCTTGACTGGAGCTGGCAGACAGGGTGGGCACCGATTCCAGGTCCTGACTGCCAAGAAAAAGGAAAATATTAAGAGAAAAAATTGGCAGTGAAAAAAAAAAAGGCCAGGGAAGCATAGGGAAATGAGATTTAGTTTAGGAAAATTATTGTTCTCTGAGCCACGGACTGATTTTATGGCTGGCATATTAGTCACAGTCTTACATGAGTCTGGCCTTTGTAATCAATATCTGCAGAGAAACTGGTGTTGCAACGTTTTAATAATTTTTAAATCTGTGATTCTGTTATTTTTAATCATGGGGGTTTTTATTTAAATTCGTATCAAAGTCTATTGAAAGCAGTGGGGAGACTCCTCTCAGCTTCAACAACTTTGAATCAAGCAGTGTAAAAATAGATGCCACATGCCTCAAAACTTCTGCTGCAGCCTTGCCAAAGAGTCCAAGCAGCGAAGTAAGACCACGACTCTTCTGTTTCTTACTCCCAGCATTTTAGGATCATGCGTTCCTGGGGCCCAGCCAAAGCCTGTGTGACGCCTTTGAGTACTTTTGCCTAATGCTGGGTTAGACCTGAGAGATCTGGGCTTGCTCCTGCTGCTCTCTATGGGTGCTGAGGACATGCATCCCCTCTGTACTTCCCTGGGCTGGTTCAATAGCAGAGAGATGCTCTACTGACCAGGAGACATTTTGCACAGAACCCTACAGCAGATGACCAATTCATTTCCAAAAGAGAAATGTGCATGGTGAAAATAAAAATGCCCAGGACATATGTGAGAGGAGTCAACCCAGTGTGGACCCAGTGCAACGGGCTGCTCTTCCTTTCAATGCAAGTCAAGCCATTGGTAACCCAGAAAGTGCCCTAACAGAGGCAGACCAGACCACGGCTTGGAAATCCTCTCTGCTGGGGCATGGGTGGACCAGGCCAGTTTTTCCTCTTAGTGCTTTTTGGGCATCTTGCAGTGTGTGGTTTTCGTTTTGACTGCATGAAGAAGGCTGCCCTCCAGCGCTGAGAGGGTGCTGGCAGCTCGCAGCACAGGGTGGGCAGCGCCACACCACTCACCCCAGCGAGAGCGGTGGCCAAGAGAGAGCTCCTCCTGCCCAGTGCAAGGCAGCCAAAATCCAGCACCACTGGGGAAGGACTCGCTGGAGGTGAAGGGGCCAGGGGCTAACACCCAGCTATCAGGTAAAATCACAGACCTAGAGATTGGAGATGCAGACAGATTCAAGAAAAACTGTTGAAAACAGATTGTTAGTCAGCCTTATGGATCCCAGTGAAGGACATGTTTTTCTTACTGGATGAGAGCCATGAAGTAGAAATAGACTGGAATCAAGAAAGAGGGCTGCAGCCGTAGCTTAGGCTGTATATTTAAACATTTTTGCTGTCGGACCATCTGGGCCTGGAGCTAAATTTACCTACAGATTATTTTCAGTGTTTCTACTTCTTGAGAGGTGAAAGGTGCACTTGATACTTCACACCAGGAGGAAAGATAAGATAAATGTCCTGGGCCAGATTTCCCCAGTGTCAGACCAGTGTGTGGTTTTGGGTGCCTAATCTGTCTACAACACCTGACTTTAAGCCCAGGCCGGGTGCTTTGCGCACACAGAGCCCCTCCATAGCCAACTCAAAATCTTGACTTGCATTACTGCTCCCAGTAACTCCGTACAATGATCAGCAATGCAAATGCACTCACACCTTTTTCTGCTTTTATGCTGTTACTGATTTATTTTTTGAACCGTGGCTAAAGGAAGACTGTTTCCATGATGAAAATATACTTATGGGGGATCCAGAAAGTCTAGTTTCTGACTCAGCTCAGACAAATTTGTTTGTTGACTCCCATGCACCTGGATCACAGGAGGAAACCTCAAACCCAGGTGAGGTCTGGCAGTCCCCTAGACATCAGGGAAGGTTTGGTGTGGGCCTCTAATGCCCCACGGGGAGCACATGGGATGGGGACTGACAGATCCTGGGTGAGAAAGTTGTGGTTTGCAACTCTGCAACTTTTGCAACCTTCCCCCACAAAATGAGGCACCTTCGTCTAGCCCTTGGGTTGGCCACTGCTGTGAAAAAAAAGAGCCCTCCATCCCAAATTTCAGGTGCCTGAGTCTCTCCTTTGAGGACTGGCTTACTGATTCCTCTTTTGAAAGGAAAATGGATGAGGATGGCTGTACCTCTTGATGGCCAGGACTTAGATCTCCCCAGCTCTCAGGGGGTGCCCCAGCACCTACGCCGGAGTATTGAGTGTTCAGCAAGTCTCATCGGGCTCAGGGTAAACTGATCTCTCATCCTCTGCTTGTGTTGTTTCTCCTCTTACAGTAATTTTTCCATTTAAATGGTTTTGTGCAAATGGTTCCTTCAGTTTTCTTTAGAGACAAAAGTGTGAAAGTATCTACTGGACAAGCACATTCCAGTGCCGGTTTTTTTTCTGATGTTAAAACAAGAACTTTTACTAGTCTCCATTACTCTCTGACATCTTGGAAGAGACTAAAAGTAATTATATTTGGACATTGGAGAAATTAAGTCTCAAGAAATATGGGGCCTTTCAGCTTTTTAATGCTGTTGACTGCATCTGTCTGTTCTGTGTGCCATAAAAGTAATAAAATTTAAATATTTTATAAAAGTGATCTGTTATGGGGGATGGTACAGAACTGATCTGGTGGTTCAGTTTATCTATGATTTAGAAAATCCCCACAGGGAAAGTCTTAAATGCTTCCATCCATCCCACATTATGTATATATCATGTCGATCAGAAGGACTTTCTTGATAATAAACTCCTCTAGCTAGCTAGTTGTGAGTGTGCTGCCTTCAGATGGTTTCTTTTTAACGGATGGCATGGAAAACCCTTCCAAGGCCAAAGTACATGAATAAGATTTATTAATCCCATAGTGTCTGTCACTCACAATAATGCTAATAATCCATAAGCCTTACATCATGTCCAACATCCCATGTAACAAATGCATCTCTGGGAGATGAACAATAAATCCCATGTGCGCTCTGCTCCCTCCTCCTCCTCCTTGATGAGGAAGCCCCAGATTTGGTGCAGCTCTTTGTGGCTAGCCTGGTTCCTTCTTGCTTCCCATGCTGGCAGAGGGCTGACACTGCCCCAGTCCTTCCTGGGGGACCCCTCCTCTGAAGCCATCAATATTTGTCACTGTATTTGCAATCGGGGTAGCGGTAGGCAAAACGGGAATCACAAGACCGCAGAGGTCTCAGGAGCTCTGCCAGCTTTGCAACCGCCTCGTTGATGCCCTGGTCGTCGTCGAGGCCGTTGGCGCAGTACTGCAGGAAGCTGTCTATTTTCTCCTGTACAGGTTGCAGGAATTTCCCTTTCAGGAGCTTAGGCAAAAGCTCTTGACACACCATGACGAGGCTGTGCTTCTCTCTGATGGAGTTACAGGACACAAATGCAGACTGGCAGTCCACAGTCAAACAGCTAAATATATCTTTATACTCCTGCTGGCCGTCAATCAGCTGGCTCCCTATTAGAGACAATTAAACCAGTTGTTAGAAGCACTGTAGCGAAATCTTGGATAATCACATTTGTCTGTACCTCTGTCTTAACATGGGGCTTGTTGCTATCTAAAGGATACAGCTATCTTTCACCACCAAGTACTTTGTGCTGTAGCTGTATATGGGCCAATTTTCTCACTCCTGAAATATATATATTTTTCTGAATGACAGAGTTCTGCAGTGCCGCCTGACAGAGGAAGTGGAGAGGAGTCTGTTGAGTCAAACTGATGCAGAAAAAGAGACAAGAACCAGAGTACGAACCTAAAATGCGGAGTTCCTACAAAAACTACCCCAAATAGCCAAACCTATAATTTTTCTATGTTACCCAAAATCATTAAATTGCAACAACAGCTTATCTAGCTGGAGTCAAGTCAACACTAGTAGCTGTTGGGACAAGAAAAAGAAACCCAGTGGAAAGTTCTCTGACAGCTGCTTCTGAATATTTGAGATCTACTCAACTGAATGTGTGAGCTGAGCAAAGGCCTTTTGAAAAATTTGAACATGCAAACCAAAATTGTTAAATTATTGGAGGAATAGTCTTTGACTAGCTCTACTTCCAGAAGTAGACCAATGTAACCTGTGACAAGTAAACACTAACTCTTGTTTTTATGTAAAAATGACAAAAGGGGGATTTTGTTGTTGTAATAATGATGATTAGTTAATGTGATAAATGCACCTAAAAAGAGTATGATTTCACTCAATACTTAAAATAAATGAAGCTATGAAATTTCTACTTGCCAATATTGACATTTCTGTGGCAAAAGTTTTAACAGAAGTGATTTAGGAAGACTTCAAATGACAGCATTCAGTACCGTCCATGTTGAATGCTGCTGTCAGCCTCAGAGGGGGCCGGGCAGGATGTAAGCACCCACAGTTGGTCACCAAACCACTGAGTACACAAAAAAAAGGTTTATTGCCTTCCCAACTCAGAGCCAGGATGGCAGAAGCTGCTGATGCTTTTGCTGTCAGCAAATCTCTCCATGAGATTTTCATTATTTAATTTAGCAAGAGATGTTTAGTTGATTAAAAAAAAAAAAAAAATCAGCAGCAGAGCCGAGCGTAGCAGGTGAAAGATTCGTTTCCCCTGCCTTGCTGAGCCCTCCTGCGACAGATGCGCAGCCATGGAGCCTGCTGTGTACCTTCCTCCTTGTCGATGATCCCCAGCGTGCTGGCATCCCGGATGAACAGATGCCCGTTGCTAAACACGCCGAAGGTGCCAGCGTCCACGTGGGTGAAGTAGAAGAAATAGTTGAGGTCGTTGGTGCCCATGGAGCGGAGGACGGTGAGGAGCTGGAGGGCCAGGTCGGCGGCCACCTCGGGAGCCGCACCGTAGAAGTCACGCAGGGGCCGGGTGCTGGCGCTGACCACCAGCCGTCCACAGGAGCCCAGGTACCGTGGGAAGGGCCATCCCTCCACATCAGGAAAGATCTGCCGGGAGAAAGGGAACAGGAGGGGGATTGCCCCTACCCTCTGGCCGCTGCACTCTGCCCATGGGCCCACCTCCCTCCTGGAGGACTTCCAAGTGCCCTGGCCAGCTTCAAGCAGCAGCACCGATGTTGTGTTTTGCTTTCAAAAGCAGCCCACAATCCTTCCTCACCCCAGCCTGCCCCAGCAGCCAGGGAAGGACTGCTCCATCCTGGAGTAGCTATGCTGCTTCTTTTTCTTTTTTTTTTTTCCTGCTTTTAATTAAGGAAGAAGAATCTGATATTTCAAGACTTATTCTGTGAGGGAGACTAACCAGAAAGACCAAGATAATAATAGATTTCAAATTCATGAAAATTTTAGCCACAGAAGAGCTAATTTTAGGTGTCTTTATGGAGCCTTTGATGGGTGCCTCATGAGCGCTGCATAGCTGAAGGCTTGGAGGTGAGGTGGGGTTAAAGCAGATTTTGCTAATTTGTAAGAACTGCCTGGCTGTTTTGCAAGAGACTCTGCAGTCTCAGGGACAGAAGTGCTGGGTGTTCGCCACAGTGGGGACACCTGGGCTGGGCTCCCTGCATCACTGCAGCTCGTACTAGCAGCGCGGTCATCCTAGGTGGAAACCAAACCGCGTGACTGCTGAGCCATGTCAACACAAAGCTTTCTGCCGTTTACATTATAACTTGTCTGTCTCCCCAGTGCCCCAGACCCTGCCAAGGCAGGGTTATGAACTCATCCTGTTTCATGCTTAAGGTTGCTTCTCCCTTCTGCTGTGAAGGCATTTTGGGCACCCACGTAAAATCAAGACATTTCTCTTTGGCATATTTTTCCTCACCTCTTTAAGCTGCATTCCCGTATCTTTACAGTGCTGAGAGCCACAGCCTCGTGCCCCAGTGAGCTGCAGCAGGGGTGGCTGAATGAGCCCCAGGAGAATCCCGGAGCACGAGCACCATTCCCCCTCCCTGGGACCAGGCAGAGCCCTGTGAGCTACTGAGGGTAGCAGTGGCCTGGGGCAGGAGATAGATGCTGCCACTGCCTCTCTTCTTCATGGAATCTCAAAGGGTTGAAAGAAACAGGTGGGGACTATGGACTACAATGAGGACTACAGGTGTGGTGGTGGTGGGGATGGGTGAGGATACTCCCTCAGAAACACATATAAGGGAAGAGAGGTGCCACATGCCAGGTATGCCAGCGGGGGACCAGGGGAGGGGTGGGAGGCCTCTCAGCTCTCTGCCTTCAAACTGAGAGCTCAGTTGTATTTGGGATCCCACCAAATACCTCTGCAAAGCTGCACTTTGCTATGGAGCTAGTTACCAGTGGCACGTAAACCAAAAAAACAGTGCTGGCACATGGAGCCTGGGAAATCAGTGTTCCCCAAGTCCATGTTCAACCTCAACACTGCGTCTTGGTCCTCCCATGCTAAAGCATGTTCTTTCTCTTTTATAAACAGGCTGTGGTTTTAAGTAGTATATCAGCAATGCAAACATAACACTGTGAAGTACTGGGGACGTGTAAAACCCTGGCTTTCACAGCGTGCTAGTGCAATAACCTGTCTGGGTTCTGATTTGTTTAAGGGGCTGGGCATCCGTATCTCCCCACAACTTCCCAGGCTGATGCAAGGAGCACTGCAGGAGTCTGCCTGACCTCAGCCATCCAACCCCATAGAAGAAACTCACTTCATGAAGGCTAGGGAGCTTGCCAAAGTGTAGGGCTGGGACTGCTCTGCAGGTAGGGACTGGTGCACGTCTCATGCGAGGATTGGCTTGCAAGGAGCTGTGGGGTGGTGTTTCAAGCGGGGGCAAAGTGGTACCTACCTGCAACAGGATGGGATGTGAATTCACGGACAGTGTGTACAGGAGGCGCAGTTTGTCCCGGTCGGTGAGGTGGTCCATGTAGATGCTGCCAGCATCTGGCACCTCAGCGTAGCGCCGCACTATCCTGTCCAGGAGACGCTGGGACGGGCAGCGTAGCATTGGGCTAGACAGGCCCTGGCAAGAGGGGGAAACACAACAAAGGTGTTTATTTTCCAATGTGCTTGGCCCATGCCAGGGGTACGGGCACCTCTGTGCTCTGCCCACTGCCCTGCTGCTCCCTGCAACACAGCTGGGGGGATCTCTACAGCAAAACCCTCCCAGGAAAAAACACCGCACCATCCAAAAATGCCTGTTCACAACTCGGGTTTCCAAAATGACACAGCCACGGAGGCTGCAAGCCCCCTTCCCCCCCAGCTGCCTGGCACCATGTTGTTCCATGCCAGCGGGCCTCCTCCCTCCGCCTGGCTTTCCAGCCCTGGTATCCCGGCCCACTGTGGAGGCCTCCCTGTCGTTAAGCTGGTGAGTCACTTCCCTCGTTAAATAATGTCTTCAGATTGCTTCGCTATTTGCTTGACCTGAGAGCAGCTTTCTTGGAAATACTATTTGCTAAGGACAGTAAACATGCTTTAAAAGTGTAAATAAACACTGTATGTGGGTACAAGCACAGGATATATTCTCTCTCTGATAAACTTGTGCATTAACTATCAAAACCAAATTTGAATAGCCTGTGCGTATTTTTTTGTAAATACCAGCAACAAATAAACTATTGGGCTAATGGAGTCAGCCATCGCTGTATTTCACCTTTCAGATTTGGAGGCTTGGTTTGTAAAATTGCACAAGCAATCTATGGCTGGGGTAAACGGCATAGAAATGTATACCTTCGTAGTCAAAAAAGACCTTTTTTTTGGAGTCAGTCTTCCTTAATAGCCAAGTTGCCCATAGTGGCACAGAAACACTGCCCTGCCAAGCCTCTTGCTGGGGAAGGGAATCAGGTTTTTGCTAAGCCTTTTTCTTCCAAATGATCCGAGTAGCCAAATCTACTCTTTTGGGATTTCTTTCTAATTTGATGGCTGGGAGACATGCTTCGGAGGAAAGGGCACTGGAGCTCATGTTGCTCCCTGCCATTCTTCATGCTGAGAGCAAAGATTTAACTCAGGATCTCCCCAAGTCATTTGGTAACTCTGAGGTAGGTCTCTCCCAGCTCTTCCTGCGCGAGCTGTTCATTTGGCATAAAACACCTAATTACCCAGCCACGACAAAGAAATGAAAAAACAAGGAAAGGAGAATTGTGTCGCTCTCCCAGTGGGAGGTGGAAAGGGGGACCGGACCTTCCACGTCCCCTCCTCTGCCTCCCTGCCAGCCTCAGTGAGGTCCCAGCCGCTCCCTCCTTGGCCATCGGTTGCACGAAACAAGCCCTGAATGCCAATAGCTGGTCAAAACCACCTAAAAAACTTAAACCCCAACTGGAGCGCTGTTTCACAACAACCGCAGAACCATTTCTTTCCCCAGGAGAATAAAACATTTGTCAAAAACAATTCTCCCCAGTTCTAGTTAAAAGTCTTCATACACTCCTCTTCTCTGGTGTAGCCTTACCAAGGAAATAATTTTTCAACTAATTATCTAAAACCATAGAAGGAGCGGGGGGAAGGGATGGTTATGGCTTTCTGTCTCGCAGCACTTGCAGGCACGTTGTGGCTGACTCTGTCACTTTCCCTCTGGAGGAGAAGTGAGAAAAAATGAGCAGAACAGAGCTGTGTTAAAGAAGGCATAAACGGTGGAGAAAGTCTCTTGCAGCTCGGCGTGTATGCAAATATTTGCAGCCAAAGTTAGAAAGCCTTGCTGCCTCCAGGAGTTTGCAATGCAAAAGCTGAGACCCTTAAGAGTATACAGTAGGAACAGAAATCACGGTGGCAGAGAATGCATGAAAGTTGTAATCAGGATTTTTTCCAAGGTCAGAGCTCATCCTATTAACGCAGACATGGACAGGTGCTGCATGCGGTGGTCACGGCTGCTCGTTTCCCAAGGAACCATTTCAGGCATACCACCAGTGCAGCTTCCTATCATTTAATGAAGCCCCGATCCACCAAAGCTGGACAGTGGGGACTTTTGATTTCGGCAGAGCTATTCAAAAGTGTAAAGTTCAGCACCTGCTTGAGTGTTTCGGCAGAGTGGGGCCTCCCCTTCCAGCAGACTGATGGAAACATCCTTGCAGCAGAAAAGGAGCTGGAGTTGTAAAACTGTCAGACAAAAACTGCCGATGGAAGAAAAATTTGAATACATATTCAAAATGCTTGAGACACTGATTTATCTGAGAATATCTTAAGTCCTTTGCAGCATCTTATCACCCCAGAGAACAAGTCCTGACAGGCAGCCTGATGCATTTTTTGTGATTGATATGGAAACTTCTTATTTACTTTGATTAAATCCCCTCATAGGTAGTTCCTGCAAAGTCTACTTTGCAGCTGCAGTCAGCTGTGATTTTTCCTTCCTACCGCACAGTATGCGATGCGTTTTAAACCCCCATGTATGCGTATGTATGCATATCTAGTGTGGATGCACCCAGAATTCACTCTGATGTAAAGACAACCTCTGGAAGACAACTTCTCCTCACCCTGCCTTCTCTTCAGCCAGCCCAAGGAGGGACAGCACAGCTCAGGAGCACAGCTTGCTCCTGCCCCACGTGCCACTGCCTGGGTGCAGCTTCACCAAATGACCAAGTTTAGGGTGGGATTCAGGAGGAAACATCTGGATGTAGGTGGCAAAGAACCTGCAGCTCCGGGCTGATTTGTTGACCCCCAAAAGAGAGAAACAAGGACGCCCTGTGAAGCTATGGGGCTTGTCATCACTGCAGGCACTGCTGCTATCATCCTCCTCCAGCAGGAGGTCAGATAGGGTTGGTGCCAGCAGGTTTACTGAAGCATGTCTCTGATGGTGAGGTGCAGGGTCAAAGAGGCAGAAGGTCTGTGAAGCGGCTCTGGGAGCCCGGTAACATCCATCCTTCCCTAGGTTGGACCAGCTGCCAGGTCAGCGAGCTGCTGCCTATGCACTGTAAGCCAAGTGATGCATACTGGCCACATAACCACGGTGCCGGCACATCCACCAAGGGCTGGCTGAGGTCCTGGTCAATAGTTTCAAACAGTACATCCTAGAGAGAGGGGCTGAAAATGGCTGACTTTTCACCTTGCTACTGCTTTCGTCTGCCTGCCTTCAACATTTTCCAAGCTGTGCTTTGTAGGCAGGGCTGCAAATTTGCCCTGCAGGTGATCTGTGCCGAAACTAACCCACTTTTTCTGTTGTTCTTCCCCTCAAACAGGAAAAGCACGTGGCACGGTTTGAGGTGATGAGCTCCTGGGCAAAGCAGCAGGTAGCTGGGGCTACTGTGCAGGCTGTGTCCCAGCTAAATCCTGCTCATCTCCGAGGCAGGCTGGATTTTAACACTGAAGACTTTGCTGCATCCAATAAAGATTTTCATTGTGGCGGGTGAAATAATCACTGTGGCAGGCAGCTCGGCTGATAGCTGGGTCAGGAAGGGCAGGCAGCATAAAGTGAAAAAACATTACTTCATGGTCTGTCATTTTGATTCAAGCACGTTACAGTTTGTCGTAATTCTCTGCTCTATAAGACAAAATTACCTGGGCCCATTAGCTTTCCTCAGTTCTGCTATATCAGAAAAACTGCGGGGAGTACAGACACTGCTGGGTGACCACAGCTTTGTGAAACAGGGTGGGCATCGTGTTAGGCATCAACAGCAGCGTGCTGTTAACACCTCTGAAAAGAGAGAGGGGGCAAAAACCAGCCAGAAAGGCAGTGCTGCAGGTAGCAGTTTGCAGTGACCTGTGGCACCCCCAAGAAATGCCCCCTCCGATGGCTCATGCTGGGTTACCAACATGCATTTGCCCAAGCAACGCTGCAGAGGGGCAGCAGCTGGGGTGCAGGCTGAGGCGCTCCTGAGGCTTTTGGCTCTGAGACAGGCAGGTGGTGGGGGCAGAAGGGAAGCGGATCCCCGGCTCTGTGGGGCTGGACAGCTTGGGGGGGTCACCCCGTAACGTGTGGTGGCCCACACAACAGGGCTGGGGGCTGAGGAGGGTCTCACGTACAAACTCACGCACACTGTGTGACTGAAATATTGTTGCTGCAGGCTGTTTTTCAATTCAGAGTGCTGTGAGACCAGCAGCCATTTTCCAGAGCATGGGCCCAATCTTAAATAGTGATTGCTGCTGATATTTGGAGGCGGGGGTTAGGCCCCAGGGCCTCTGGATTCCTGTGGTCCTCTGTGTATTCAAGTCTATATGATGTTAAAAGGGATTTATATCCCAGTTTAGGTTTCTCTGCTTGATTTAAAGAACCCAAGAACAATGAAAAGATGAGTGGAGCAATCCTGAGGCAGACATGCAAAGCTCTGGGCCTCCCTGCAGCCTCCTGTGCCCTCTCCAACTAAAAAGCTGCAGGAGTTGCTGAAATGTCCTAGGGAGTTTGGCCCTGGGCATGCCCCCCCCAGGCTGGCCCCTGAGCTCGCTTCGGAGGTGCCCTGGAGCTGGGGTCAGCTCAGCTTCCCAATGCTGCAGGGGGAAATTCAAGCACCCGGGAGAAACTGGATAGGTGCAAGGCCAGCGTGCCCCAGCCAGAGTCTCCACGTGATACTGCGTGCGTCTGTGTGCATGCGTGTGTGTGCACATGTGTGCACGTGTATGTACGTGTATGTATGTGTGCATGTGTCCGTGCGTGTGCGACCCAGCCAGATCAGCTGGGGGATTCAGTTTCAGAGAGGATGGGGGAGGGAAAGCTGTATAGCACATCAGGAGCCTTTTAAGGAGAAAGATTTGGGCTCAGCTAATGACTTAACTTTGCAGCAGATCTGAGATACCACAGAGCTACATTTCTCCAGTTACCTTTTCACCCAGCAAATGGAAGTTTCAAGCTCTCAATTCCTCCTGTTTCACATAGCACTGCTGTGGAGGCAGCACAGTTTTGTACAAACCCCTTGGATGCTGCAGCAATACTGGACGGCCTGGCACCCCACCTTGCCCTCCTGAAGCCCCCTGCAATGCTGCCTTGGGTGACAGTGATGGCTGGTGGGTGTCTGGGAAGCTGCTGCCTGCCACTTTGGGAGGAGGTGTCCCTGCCTGCAGCCCATAAGCTCAGGCCAGGGATGGTCTAAGTGGAAGTGATGCATATCTGCCCCCTCTCCCTAGCCTCTCTCCCGAGGTTACTAGCCAAAGCACAGTGTAGCTTTCCTCCAAAGAATTTTTCCCTGCCCGGCATGTGTCATCCTGCACCTCACCCCCCAGAGGGAGGGTGCTGGCTTCAGGGTGACCTGCCTTGTGGGGCTGTCAGGGACTCGGGTGAGTCCATCTCAGAGCAGCTCAGGCACTAGCCCCGGCGCTGCTCCTGCTGCTGCCGAAGCAGCATGGGGTCTCCCGCTCTCCCTCCTCAAGCGTGCAGCTCCATGGCGTAACAGAAGCAGAAAAGCTAAAGGAGCGTACCTTTAGCACTCAGCAAAGCTGAGCGGATGCGGCAGCGTGCAGATAGGAGGAAGCAGTTGCCTTTATAGAAAAGGAAGAAGTCCCTTTTTCACAGCCACTTCTCTCTTGGAAGCGGGGAGAAGAAGTACTGGAATGACCCTTCTTTGTTTCTCAAGGTCTTGTTTAGTGTCTATCCAGCCTCCACCCTGGCCCCTGCCCCTTGCCAGTGGGTATCTCAATGCTTTGCTGTTGTGTGGATGGGCTGGGGGGATGTGTGCACATGTAGGGAGGGGACCTTTGCTCTCAGATGCAAGACAGCTGCTGCAAGACACACTGGTGTTCCTGGTGGCCCTCCCTGGCTGCCCATGGCATCCCTCGGTTCAAGCAATGCTCAGGCACTGGCCCTCCTCTGGAGCCTGCCTGCTCTGCCCTGCTGGCCCTCTCTGCATGTCCGTCTCCCCATGCCATGGCCTCCCATCAGCTTGGTGGCAGTGATGCCCCCACAGCGTGCCTGTCCTGGCTTCACCTGTGACACCCCAGGACTGCAACAGAAAGGATAGCGTTGTGGAGAACAGGAGAGGTGCCTGAGGACTGGAAGATAGCCAATGTCACTCCAGTCTTCAAAAAGGTCAAGAAGGAGGACCCAGGGAACTACAGGCCAGTTAGTCTCACCTCCATCCCTGGAAAGGTGATGGAACAACTCGTTCTGGGTGTCCTCTCCAAGCAAGCAGATGAAAAGAAGATCATCAGAAGTACCCAGCACAGATTGACCAAGGGGAAATCATGCCTGACCAGTCTGATAGCCTTCTACGATGGCATGACCGGCTGGGTAGATGAGGGGAGAGCGGTGGATGTTGTCTACCTTGACTTCAGCAAGGCTTTTGATACTGTCTCCCTTAACATCCTCATAGGGAAGCTCAAGAAGTGTGGGAAGGCTGCGCTGCCATTCAGCGGGACCTGGACAGGCTGGAGAGTTGGGTGGAGAGGAACATGATGAAATTCAACAAGGGCAAGTGCTGAGTGCTGCACCTGGGGAGGTCAAACCCCGTGCACCAGTACAGTCTGGGGGCTGACCTGCTGGAAAGCAGCTCTGCTGAGAGGGACCTGGGGGTCCTGGTGGGTGACAAGCTGACCATGAGCCAGCAGTGTGCCCTTGTTGCCAAGAAGGCCAATGGCATCCTGGGGTGCAATAAGAGGAGTGTGGCCAGCAGGTCGAGGGAGGTTATCCTCCCCCTCTGCTCTGCCCTGGTGAGACCCCACCTGGAGTACTGTGTCCAG